GCGTGTGTATGTGTGTGTGTGTGTGTGTGTGTGTGTGTGTGTGTGTGTGTGTGTGTGTGTGTGTGTGTGTGTGTGTGTGTGTGTGTGTGTGTGTGTGTGGTGTGTGTTTGTGTGTGTGTGTGTGTGTGTGTGTGTGTGTGTGTGTGTGTGTGTGTGTGTGTGTGTGTGTGTGTGTGTGTGTGTGTGTGTGTGTGTGTGTGTGTGTGTGTGCGTGTGTGAGCGCATGTGTGTGTGTGTAAATCTATATGTATATGTATATGTATATCTATACGTATATGTATATCTATACATATATGTATATCTGTACGTATATGTATTTCTATACGTATTTGTATATCTATATGTATATGTATATCTATTTGTATATGTATATCTATAAGTATATGTATATGTACATCTATATGTATATGTATATGTATAAGTATATGTATATCTATAAGTATCTGTATAACTATATGTATATATATATCTATATGTATATGTATATTTGTATTAATATATACATGTACATGTCTCCTCTATGTCCTTGTCCATATACATAGCTACACAATCAACATACCTGTCTATAATCCAACAGCACAGAAAGGGACATTGTTGTGCAGTCAAACTTTCCAGACTTTGCTGTTCTTGATGGGTGAACAACAATCATCGGCTGATCAGGAAGAGTGTATCGCTTCTCTAACAAATTTCTCTCTCTTTCCTCTGCCTTTTTCTTCTGTTACACAGAAAGAAATGAGCATTAAGATCTGCTAGATAACAAAGTTATGATTCCAATTTTAAGAAAACAATAATAATAATAATAATAATAATAATAATAATAATAATAATACAAAAAGAGGCTCTATGAATCCACATATGAGAAATTCCAATTTCTAGGATTATATGGCAGCTCTAGTTCTCAGATATGTGAGCACAAGTCATTAAAAAAGTCAAAGCAGTCCATATGAAAAACATTAAGACTGGAATGTTTTTGTTAAAATAATGTGCATTAGACCTAAATCAGACCTCCCTCAAATAAGTACTCACAAAGCTCTGAATTCTGTCATCTTTTGATGAAATTCACAGCTTAAATACTATGCTAAACATCAGATTCATGTTACATCAAAAAGAGAACATTCAGCCAAGATGCTGATCCAAACCAAACAATTTACCTCCTCTTCCTCCTTTTTTCTCTCCTCCTCCTCTTTTCTTTTTCGTTCTTCTTCTTTCCTCTTCTCCTCCTCTTCCTTCTTTCTTGCCTCATCCACTTCAGCATTTTCTGCATTTGCTGCTTTCTCCGACTCTTCTTTTTCTTGTTCGTTTTTCAGTATCTGCATTATTGGGGATTGCGTAAACAACAGAAAACAAAAGAGCATCACCTTTTCTTAGAACTTACAGTCTAGCACAAATATCTGAAAAACTTGAAATCTCATGAGCAACAGGCTTGGAATAGGAACAGCTATCTGATTAACCAAACACAATCTCAGACCATAATAATAATGACACATGTGAAAAAGATTAAAAAGCCTTTACAATCATATCATGCAAATACCTATGTGCATGATAAAAAGGTTTTGACTATGACATATACTCACTTTTGTTAGCCGGGCAATAAGCTGTGATTTGAGACCCTTACTGTTCAACATCCTGGCATCCAATTCTGAGCGAAGTTCAACAACCTGCAATTAAAATAACTCCAAGCTTTGAAAACATATAATAGATTTATTTCACTTAAACTTTAGTCCCTGTCTGTATGAGGAGAATCAATAAAATCAAATGAATATGTAACATACAAATATGGAAGAAAAAAAAAGATAAAAAATATAGTGCCTAAAATGCAGTATTATCACACAAAAAAAATCTATTATATATACTTTAGAGAGATAAATGTATACAGCAATACAATAGGGCAGCAGAACCCTCTGAAATGCAATGCAGCTACACTACAATAGGAACAATAAATTGTGGTATTCTGAGTCAGATGATTCATCTGATAGCAAACCAAAATTAATAGTTTTAGTGTCTGATCCGGACCCTAATTTCACCTGAAATGTCGTGATTTAGCACTACTTCAAACTGTAGCTATGCTTCCTTATATCTTATATCATTGCAAAGGATTGATGCAAAACAAATTGTAAATAAGATAACAAATATGGCAAGTCTTTATACTTTACTGTTTCTTCTGGGGATAATGAGCAAGAGAATCATAAAGATCTGCATACAATACCAAAGTTGTCGGGACACGTCACTGATTAGTCTTTTAATGACCTTCTATGGTTTTGGCTCTGTGTGTGATGTGTGATGTTAGTTGTTGGCTGACTGCCTTAATGACACTTTTACTACCATCTTTCCTGTGGGCCCACCCTCAGCCTTATTCAATGAATATTCAGGCCCCTTGAGATTCATTACACATTTAGAAAGGAGTGAACATCTTGGAGGCCTTGGGGGGTCACAATCAAGAGGGAAGAACAGAGCAGACCTATTTAGCCACATATAAACTATACCTTGTGGTATTTGCAACCAGATTGCAAAAGCAGCATTAATGGAAGCAACCAACAACTTGACCATTGAATCAAAGAGCTATGAAGTTTCTTCGATCATTGCATACCTAATCAACCATGTGACAACAGTTTTAGCAATTATATACCACTATGATTCTCTTGTACATCACATCCTGAAGAGATAATAAAGTGAAATGTGGGTCTTTCTGTTCTTCATGTTATTCTATGTAAAACATATAACTGTGTTTACATCTTTGCAGAACTGTTAGGCTTTAAAATGTTTGATTTAAAACCATCATTCTCTTTGTCTCTTTGGAACTGAAACGCTATGTCTAACCTTCATACTCTTTGGGTCTAGCGTAGTATAATGGCTTGGGTCCTTCTTCTTGGGCTGATCCTCCTAAAAAGATAAAAACTGTCCATTAGCCTCGCACTCTACAGCAGGACCTGAGTTCAAATAACATGAGCAGAGCCTAACCAGATTGCCAAACTGAATCTCAGGGAAAAGGTTGGTAAATAAGATGTGTTCCTATCCACTCTGCAGCTCCAACCTTAAGGGGGTGTGTGCTGAAGACGCAAAGGTGCTACATAACAGGGAAATGATGCGCGGCTTATATGGGCGGATATTGACATGACTACAAATCAATGCTGTCTAAACATGGAGGTTAAATACAATGAATGGAAAAGCATGTGAAAACACAGAAACATTCTTGACCAATTTTATTAAAAATTGGTGGGACCCAAATAGAGATGATGGGATGGTGAAAGAAACTAAAAACCAATAATAAAAAAGTATCATGAAAAATACAGAAACGGCTAGTAGAGTCTGCAAGAAAAGGCAGGTGGTAGCTGGTTGATATGTAATGATTGAGAAGACCTGATGGTTGGGTGGATGGGTGACTGTGTCCATCATAGGTCACACACTCAAGACCACCTTGATTCTTGGGTACGTGACCTCACACCTCCCCCGACCTCCAAGCTACCTAGCTGCAGCCTTCCAAAGGGCCATCTTCGGGCGCGTCAAATCAACAGGTTAAGTCAACAACCATGGAGAGAGATTACCAGTCTTGGGAGTTCTAATGGATGAAAATGTAGATATCAAATCTAGGAAATTACCCCTCAAAATAAAAAATAATAAGGGACAAAAATCAGAAATTATAAAGGAAAATGAAAAAAAAAAAATAATAATAAATAAAAAAATCTACAAAGTCATACACATACTATCTATTCTAATCAAACTAGTGATCTACAATCCATCCATCACAATGCCAAAAAGCCAAAACTGTAGCAACCAGCAAAAGGAACCCATGAAAACCTCTTCGCCAAGACTGATGGTGGTCTCCAAGAAAAAAAAAATAAATAAATAAATAAAATAAAAAGAAAGACTTGAGTGAAACTGATTTAGTAATTGTGAAGTGTGAACTTTGACCGGACTGCCATCTCCGCCAGTCACTCGGGCAGCAAATGTTATGGCTAGAGTTCACATGTACAATGTACTGATCCATCAGATCAATCACATCGACTTCAGAACTTCATATTATTCTCATGGCCAAAATTAACATTCTCATTATTGTTATTATGATTATTATTAAGGATCCTAATGAAGCTTGAAGCTGCAGCACAGGTAGCTTGGATAAGGCATGAGGAGATGGTCTGCAAGAAGAGAGTAAACCGTAGAGAAGAAAAAGGTCGGATGAGTGCCTTGTCTTCCTCCTCCTCCTCCTGGTCCTCTGGCTGCTGCTGGCATCCCGCCGAGGAGGAGAGCTTCTTGTCCAGCTGCCGTTTATAGTTGAGGTGGAGGCCGTCCCACTCCAGTTTGGTGGGGCAAACGTTCCAAACATCTGGGAGAAATAGTACAGTGGTTTCAACCCGGGCAGGCGTGCTCCGGCCCTTGTGTGTAGACTCTCCTCGGCGATAGTAAATCTCCGCAAACCGGTACCTGAGATGGAATGGTGTTGCGTCAGGATCCGGCACTTGCAGAATGAGGGTCAGGGAGAGTTTACATGTACGCGACATTATTAACGCGTCAACATTCAAACAGAGCAGAATGCTGTACTATCCTTCCCCTCCTCCTTCACCTGTTTGAATAAAAATTGAAACTGGATCTATTCTACATCCTGCTCTCAATTAGGAAGACCTGCTTTAATTAGAGTGATTTATAGTTAAAAAAAAAAAAAAAAAAAAAAAAAAAAAAAAAAAAAAAAAAAAAAAAAAAAAAGGATGACTGGAGCTCATACCTGGAATACCACACATACCAACATCACACAGACAGCAAAAGTTACTCTTTCACCACCAATGCAGTTTCTCGGCAACTCCTCTCATTCTTGATTGTCATTCAATCTCCTGCTCAGCTCAGTGCACTAAGTATATACACGTTGCTTCCCAGAGAGTGACGTTATTATGAAGAAATAATAATAAAAAAAAAAATTATAGAGGCTTAACTTACAGAGGAATATAAGGATGACAGTTCGGCAGATGACTGTACTTCAAAACCAGTAGAGCAAGTGTAAGACTTTTTAA